TTTGTGAGGCCATCACCATTGGAAAGTAGACTTCTGGGGCTTCAATTTAGACTCAAGAATCACATACAACCGAGTCTGGATAAAGGAGATATGCTTGTTTGAAGTCAGGCTTGAATTTAGATTTTTGGAGCCGCCTAGCTCCATTTAGATCTGGCCGTGGCTCATTTAGAGCCAATCGGCTTTTAATGAAAATTTTTCCAAAATGCCTTTTTAGACCTAGCCTTGCATTTTTGGGTTCAACTGACTATTTTGGGGGCCGGCTGGCTCTCATTTATTTGTGGCTGAAGGTTTGGTGTAGCAAACCCCTCATAAGGTTGGAAGTACTGCTGCCTAGGTGGTTAGAAACCAAAACTTCCTTCCTCAAAATGCTGAGGAGGTGGTCCAGGTTCGCTTTGTGGCTCATGATTTCTAAAGCCTTGCTCTTGATAATTTTGCTGCCCAGGTCTTTGGTTATCCCTTGGCCTGGGGTTATCGTAATTTGGTTGTCTAAACCTTTGGTCAGCAAAGTTGTAATGCCCTAATCTTGGTCTGTCGATGGCAGGTTCTTCATACCCTAGGGCCCTAAATTGCCCTCCTAGCATAGGCCTGGCCCTATCATTCATTGGTTTTTCATACTCTGGAAGCCAGTTTTGCCCCCTTGCATAAGTCTATTGTTCAGTTCAAAAGTTGGGTTATAATGTGATTTTCCTTCCATGGCCTCTGTTTGAGGAGAGGGCCTAGAAGGACCAGATTGTTCTCCAGAGGGCCTAGAGGGTTCATTTGAAACCTCTATTGTTCTTTTTCTTGAAGAGTTGGAGGCTTATAAAAGAAGGCACTACCCTGACGAATTTACTTGTTTTAGGGATTTGAAACTGTACCTTAGTCACTTGTGCTTCTACATTAGTTGAAGGGAGAGGACTAGGAGTAGCGCTGAATCTCCCAAGCATTCTGAGCTTGGCCTTCATACTTTTTGTGAGTTGTTTAGGCCTCATTTCAAAGGCATAACCAACATGGGCAATCATTTCCTTCACTTGTTCAACTGTCAAGCCATAGTACTGGCCTCCATTGGTCGTGTCCTAACCATCCTTCAGTCTTTCTCCATACCTGGCTGCCACTAATTAGCTGTCCATAATGGCTTCTATGTCTTCCTCAAATTCAGGAAAACTAGCAAGGAAACCTACATCTTCAACATGCCTCTTATTTGGATCTCCAAAAAAGGCCTGACTCATCAGCAACGTTCTTGCTGATGTTAGTAGTCTCAGTTATCTTTTTCACCATTACTCCAAGTTAGAATGGTCCCACTGGGCGTGCCAATTTATGTTGGTAAAAATTTGGTTTAAGCCCAATCGATGGTAATTGATTGACAGACCTAAACTAATTTTCAAATAAACATAAAAAATATCAGACTTTGTAGTTGAGTTCTATACCTTAAACAGATTAAAGACTTCGCTTGAGGTAATTAAATAAAAAATAAATGGAACAGAACATAATATGTATTAATTCGAATAAATTGTCATTTGCCACCAATTACAAGAACTTAAACAAAAATAAAAAATTAAATAAATACAGTCGTCGACAGAAGAAATAGAGGGTGGAAAAGCTAATAGTCTACTCCTTACAGTTGCTAAATTAAATTACACCTGAATAATTGTTTACGATTTGTGAGTGGTTGTGGGTGATTTTCGCTTCTCTGCACCCAGCTCTCTTTTATACTTGACCTTCCTAGCTTTCAGTTCTAATCCTCTTTGATTTTCTACACCTTTGCATATCTATCTCGACATTCTAGAGACTGTTTTTTTGAATATTGATTTTTCTCTTGATTCTCTGCCATCTTCTTTGTCACGACCCCAAACCGCCCCTAGTAGTTTGGTGCCGTGATGGCCAGTAATCCGTAATTACCGAAGGCCAACTTTTCAAAACTTAACACAATCAGAGTATGAGTATAGGGGGCTCACAAATGCGGAAGCAATAAATCAAATACAAGTGGTCCATGAGAGCTGTGCATAGATCAAAGCAATGCCAAACATTTTCAATTAACTTACAACTTGAATACAACAAGTAAAATTACACATCACATCTTGATCAAAAGGCTTCTCGAGCCGACATATACAAAATACAGTTAATACAATTCAAGAAGCATGATTTTCAAGATCTGCCGACGTGCAAAACAGGGCATCGCCGACGTAAATACAAAAGTAAGGCCGACATATACACGCATCCAAAACAAGCATCCAAAACGAACTAGGCGTCGCCGCCGTCCTGCTCATCACCTACATATATATAGAGGGGTGAGTACAAAACTCAGTGAATGGTACTAAAAATAAAGGTTTGCATGAATATAGCCGGAGTCCTTCAAAACGAATACATCAAACTTAGCAAGGCAAGGGATGAACCGTATTCATCATCAAACATCATAACATCGGCGAAACAAGGGATGAACCGTATTCATCATCAAACATCATAACATCGGCGAAACAAGGGATGAACCGTATTCATCATCAAACATCATAACATCGGCGAAACAAGGGATGAACCGTATTCATCATCAAACATCATAACATCGGCCACCTTACTTAAATTTATCTAAAAAGTAAAAAAAATTATGGAAAAATATTTTAAAAAATTAATAAATACATAAAAATATGAAAAATATACTAAATTCTCGTTTTTTTTTTTGTATTTTTGGTATTTAGTGAATTTTTAAAAGATTTTTTTCACAAAAATTGTGGCCTTGTTTGGTTTGTTTTTGAAAAACAAATTTTGAAGAAATTTTTTTAAAATTTTGTTTGGTTTAGTGATTTTGGAAAAAAATTTCCAAAATCACGTTCTATGTCCTATATATCAATCAATCACTTTTTCTCTCACACACATCTACTCAACTACAACAAAATATCAAATCATCGCAAACTCTCATACTCCAAAACTATTTCCAAAATATATAACCAAACAAATCAAAAAAAATTCTAAATTCTTTCCCAAAATTTTTTTTTGAAAATTTATCTCCTAAAACCAAACCAACCACACCATATACTTTTGAGTGCTGCTATTAGCACCTGCCAAAATTCTTTAGACCCCTCATTTTATAATTTTTTTATTACAATTATACCCTAAAGTAAAATTACATTAAAAGATATTATTAAATGGAACACCCACCTATCAATAAGAACTAATATTCTATAATATTGAACACCCACCCCCACCCCCACCTCCAACTCCAACTCCAACTCCAACTATACGTATTCCATATTTGTAAACCCTAAACCTATTACTTTTTATAACCAACTAACATAAATCCTAAATCTATTATTTTTCATAATCATCTTAAATCCTGAATGTGTCATCTTCATCACCATCATCAACGCTATTGAACTTGAAAGTTTTGCTTAAAGTATAATGTATACTTCAACACTTATTTCACTGTGTAGAGCAATGGATGATGATGACAACATTCTTGGTCGTTTATCTGTCTTGTATTAACATTCTCGGTCGTTTTCGGTCGTTCGAACTGTTCGGTACTGGTTTGCTGGCTGTTAAAATTATATTCGGTAATACAGTACTGAACATAATCCTTTCGTTCAATACATAGGTTCTGAACATTAATACAGATAATCAGTTATGTAATTTTCTTTGTTAAACTAACTTAGAATGGAAAAGAGTGAATTTGAATGGATTTAAGTTATGTATTTTGAATGGATTTAATTCATGTTATTTTAAGTTGTGAATTGGAATGGATTCAAGTTACACAGTGATGAACAAATTTTGTTCGGACATACAGTGCTGACAGGATCATTATTGTTTGACAAAATAGTTTTGAACAAAATACATTTTTTCGGCTACATAGTGGTGAACAAATTGGGTGGGTGTGCATTTCATTGTGAAAATATGAAGATTAGTTTTCTATTCTGAAAATATTATGGAAATATTATGGAGATTAGTTTTCCATATATATACATTGTTTTCTATTCCTACAATTCGCATCAATCTTCACTTTCTCATTTGAATTTCCCAATCAATGGCAAATTCCAAAAAGACGCACGCCATCGAAATCCCAATCGACGAAGAGCACCAACCCCATTGTGTTTTGAGGAACCACTTTTTAGATGTGGTTAATGTTGGAGAGAGAATTGAGAGAAAGAGCTAGGGTTTTGAAGGGGTTTTGAGAGAGAGAGAGAGAGAGAGAGAGAGAAAATAGAGAGAAGAGAGAGAAAAATCTTCACTTTCTCATCTGAACAAAAGGGGTTTTGAGAGAGAGAGAGAGAGAAAAAAAAAATAATAAAGAGAACAGACATCACTGATGAGGAGAGAGAGAGAGAGGGGGAGGCAGAGAGTGGTTGTGGTTGGGGGTGTGAATTGCGTGCATTTACTTGTAGATTTAGGCTAAAGTTAATGTAGGCTAAAGTTAATGTTGGAATGGATTCAGGTGGGTGTGCATTTCATTGTGAAAATATTATGAATATGTGTAGATTTGGTAATAAGTGGAGTATCCAAAAAAATATTATTAAAATTTAGGGTTTAAGGTTAGGGTCCAAAGAAATGGGGGGTCTAAAGAATTTTGGTAGGTGCTAATAACAGCACTCTATACTTTTATGTGTTTTTATATTAGGTGTGTCTAAAAATTAAAAGAATTACTTAAAATATTAAAAAAATTTAGTAAAAATAAAAAATACAAAAAAATAAGAAAATAATTTTTTTAAAAATGTTTTTAAAAAACCAAAAACAAGCAAAGTATTACTTCCCGAGCCTTAGGCCTCGTTTGGGAATATACTAATTTAGTAATTTTTTTGATTATTTTGTTAAAATATGAGCTAAAAAAAATTAGTATGTTTGGAATGATTTTTTGACTTTTTACGAAAGATGTGCAAAAAGTAAAGAGATAAGAAATTTTTTAATTTTTTGATATAAGTTATTGACTTTTGACTAATTTAATAATTTTTTAATTTTTTGACTAAGAAAGAGGTTACCAAACGATGCCTTAATTTTAACTCAAATTTTTTCCTAATTGCATAATACACTCTTCTGAAACCCAACCTACACTACAATCGGCCCTAGAGCTTTGCATCAAAATTGATGATAAAATTTCCCTTTTTCATCTATCGATTCAAAAATTGATAGCCAATGGAGTCTTCTTCTTCTTCTTCTTCTTCATCTTCATCTTCAACATTCTATGTTTCTCATTTTGACTATCTCATTCTATTCTTTCTTCGTCCCCTTCTCGCCATCTCCTTCGTGCTCTCCTTAATTCTCCTCGGTATCTGAATCTTTCTATACTTGCGTCAATACATATACATGTTTATGTGTTTGTATGTACAGTTTCATGATCTGGGTTTGTTGAAATTTCTTCTAATTCGAGGTTTTTGATGGTGGGTTTCACACAGGTTGGTTCTTGGCGTGGAAGCTAGTTCTGGTTCATGTTCCTCTGGTTCAAGAAATCTTCGGCCTGCGAAAAAAACACACAAAGCCCAAACCCCCAACTCGCGGGAGGCTCTCGAGATTGTACAACAGTATTGATGCCCAAAATTCAACTTCTCAGTGGTAATCTCCATTCCTTTCGATCCCTTTTCACTCATCTACTGTAATTCGCTTTTTGATCACTTTATGATTATGTTTCTCAATTTGATGATTTGATTGTTTTCCCTAAAATGCTGAATTTTTAATGTATTTCATTTATATGTAGCTGAGTATGGACCATATTGTAACAACAGTGTCCAAGAAAATTGAAACATGTGTGTGTTTGATTAATGCAAACTAGCGGGTGGTGCAATTCAAATAAGTAAGAATATAAACAAGTAATAAAGAAATTAATATGATAATATGTAGGTTGTCAAAGTGGTAAGAGTTTTCTTAATGAAACTCAAGATCTTGGATTCAAACCTTCTCCTCCTCTATCTAAAACTTTTTATTTTAGGATAGAAAAAACTGCCACGTGGCATGACGTGTAGGCTTGGACACCAAGTTTAGCCTTCGCTTAATAATAGCATAGATAGTTAACAATAGTGTCCGAGTAAGTAAATTGGGACCTGTGTATTTGAAGTAGTATGCTCTCACCTCAAGTAGGATGTGATTTTGGGGCAAACATATTTGAATGCTTCGAAATGTTGAAGGGAAAGGGAATCGAGTTGAAGAATTTTGATCAAATATAGAGACTATAATTCTTAAAAATTGGTGATTTAAGTACTTTTTCGGAATGTGTGGATCTATGGGCTGCAGCCGCTCCATGGAAATTGAAGGGCTGGATTGGGACATTCTCAACCCGTCACAACAAGCTAGAGTGAAGATATTAATATTGAGGAATGGCCTCTTTTACCTTCCATACACTCTATTCCATTAGGTTGTGAAGGTGGATTTCTAAGAGTTGTTCAAGTATCTATTACAAACTAAATGTTGTCATCTGCTACTTTACCAAGTGTTGATCCCACCTCTGTGAGAGGTGGGCTTGGTGCAAACCTAACCTGTAATCATTATTTACATGCAGTAGTTGCTAGAACAGTCAAACCTGTGTTTGCATACTCTTGACTTTATGCTGTTGCCATTGCACCAAACAATGGCAGATTGAGTTGATACCATATTGAGTTGTGACGACCTTGCAAATGAGGAATAATTAATAGAAAATATTTTACATATAAATTTTCTAGATGGTCCATATAACCTCGTTGAATTGTCTTATGTTTTCTTGATTTATTACAGAAATGTCAAATATGTTTGTAAACATCCTGGCCCTTGGCAGTTTTACTGATAACGTTCATTAGACTTATCACCAGAAGGGACTATTTGTTTCAATTGAAAAACTATTTCTGTTTTCAGAAATGAAAATGAAGTAAGAATATTGACAAATACAATTGGTGGGGCAGTTTTGAAAAGTATCTACGAAAAGAATGAAAATATGAAGTGTTCAGATGACATGAGAAAGTAAATTTTCTATGATGTCCAAAACTTGGTTCAATCACAGAGTGAAACCAATTCAAAACAGTTGCACTTAAATTTTCGAACCTTCTTTGAGATTTGTTGGAAATGAAATGTAAAAATGAAACAAGTTTTGGAAAACCGACCAAGTGAACTCCAAAGTTTCCATGGAATCTTTGTGATATGAACATGTGTATAATTGTTTGTATTCATGGCTCCAAGACTGAATTTTTGTGTCATTCATATGGAAAGAAAATATTTGATCTGGATGACTTGGGCAGGTTTAATTTGAACAACCCGATACCATATGTGGCATTTTTTTTTTATTGAAATGTCACTGTGGAAGCTACCCAAACTCTTCACACAAGTAGTCCAATTGTTTAGGGGCATTGTGAACGATAACAAAACTATGGATGACTTAGGCGGGTTTAATTTGAGCAACCCGAGGCCATATGTGGCATTTTTTTTTATTGAAATGTCACTGTGGGAGCTACCCTAACTCTTCACACAAGTAGTCCAATTGTTTAGGGGCATTGTGAACAATGACAGAACTATGGATGACTTGGGCGAGTTTAATTTGAGCAACCCGAGGCCATATGTGGCATTTTTTTTATTGAAATGTCACTGTGGGAGGTAGAATTCTTCTTCACAAGAAAAGCAAGATGGCGTGTCCCTTCCTTTACTCTATCAAGAGCAACCAAAATGTCAGTAATCACCCCCAATCAGTGTTAGTCTGGAGGAACATCTGACGGTCAAGTTAGAATATTGTTTGGCCATGAGAATTTGTATTTAAAAGGGAGTTCTTGGATTACCATTGATCTATCATCTTTGCTTCGCCTTTTATAGTTTTCCTGACTTGAATCCCCTTCGTTGGATTAATGTTTGATCCAAGGGTTCTGCCCGTTCCTAGATATAGCGATTCTGGGTTTACCCTTGTTGTACAGTGATCCGGACATGTGTCCGTGGATGTTGGTAGTTGATTATTATCTTGTTTACATCCTTTTTACTTCGTATTTGAGTTATAGGATGTGTTGGGCAGGTTTGTTACAGGTTGGTTGAGTTTAGAAACCAAAACTAGTTGCCCAGATTTTGACCTGTCCGCTCGAGCGGGGGTTTTGGC